AAAATGAAAAAAAAAGGAAAGGGCGTTAAAAAATTCCCAAAACGGCCCCCCCTTTTTTTTTTTTTTTTTTTTTTTGCTCTCAGCTTTCTTTTTTTATATTTTGATAAATGAGCAGGTGTTCTATTCAAGTCTATTCAGGTTTTCTTGAATATCTTGAATACTCTGATTTGGAAAAAGAGGCTCTTTTGATGTCAAAAGGTATTTAAAGGAATGTTGTTAACATACTCAAAAGCTACCAGTCGGCCTCCTTTTGCAGCATCGTCCCAAATTGTTGATAGACCTCCTTGTACTACGGCTCCTCTTGCTATTACAGCTACAAATCCTGCCAGCATGATCACCATCTGCAGTACGTCTGTCCAGATAACTGCTTTCAGGCCACCCTGTGACAGAATTCATATGATCAGACAGGGCAGGTTTGAAGCTAATTTAGGTCACTCTTGAATGTTCAGGGCTTGATCAAGGATATGGTTCACTAAACATTCATACTATGAACTGAATAATGAGTATAAGTTGTATCACAAACTCCAATATCACGAGAACCCCAGAGCTCAAATGTGGTATTTTTTTGGCAGAACTCAAAAGAACAGAATGGCAAACTTTGAGTTAAAGATTGCATTCTCCATTTAATTTATTTCAAACATGAATTAAATAATGTGCAATAGATACTTATTTTTGAAATAATAACACAATACGAACCAAAGTACAATAGATGATGCACACTGCCCCCGTTGCCACCAACACTCCCCACAGATCCAGCCCCGTAACTAAACAATTTGGAAAATTCTCCATTATAAATAAATATACATTTTGTAACTTTCTACTATCTTTTCTTTTGGATTTATAACAGCTGTATCTGTACGAGAAAATAAAAACAAACTTTTTTGTGTTAAGACTTACTTTGGTTTAGTGCAAGAGCTGGAGCATAAATAACTAAGCCCGTGTAGAGAGCCTGAAAAGCAGGACCATTAATGAATTAGTTCCAAACACAATGTGATCATATTTATATCGTCATGGCACAGGTATCTACAATCAGTAATGCACGAAGTCAAAATGAGAAAAGAACAGATGTTGTTTGTTGTTTTAAATGTGCATCATTAAATTTTTTTAAATCTTTTTTATTTTTATATTGTAACAGTTATCTTAATATTTATGATTGTTCCAATTTATTATCCTATTTTAATTAAGAATGTGTGGGTTACCGTCTGCACAATGTACATGGATGTTCCGGTCAGCCGGGTTATCCGATTAAAGCGCCGTTCCAGGTACTAGAAATGAAAAAAATAATCCACATATAAACATCATTCAAATGACTATCCCATCATTCCAGGCATATTGAGAATTTGAAAAACAACATGCAATTGTGTCCCCGTTTTCGATAAATTTCCAGGATTTGTACTTAATTTTATATGATATTGAGATTTTTTTTTTCTTGTGTTTTTCAGATCTCATATTAGCATTTAACTTATATCTTTTACCTTTACCTTTTTACTTATTTTGCAAACCCAGAAAAGGTGAGTCACAAATTATTTAAGCATCTAAACAGTACTTTCACGCTGGGATGTCTTACTCATAAAATGTCAAAGAGCTTGTAGCAATCCATCTATATTTCCAGAACTTAAGCATTTTTTCCTGGTTCTGTTCTTGCCACTACAAAAAAAATACACTTGATAAACTGTGAGTTCAGTGCCGTAAGGATCTTGACAAAAGTAAATAAATCAGCTCATATAAGGATGAGGCATTTGTCAAGTCTTTTCTAGACTTCTTTTAGTTTCTTAAGCCCTAGCTTTAATATGCTGTTTATCTTCTTGTTTTTTTGCTAATCTTAAAAAAGATAAAAGGTATTTTGTCCCAGTCAAAGTGTGCTATCTTGGGCTTGTTCTGATTCAACCAAAGATGTTTTGAAGACATTATGTTTTTTGGCATGCTGTTACTAACACAGTATCTACCTACAGAATAACCTTAAAAGCCTTTTTAGCCATTAAGTCACAGTTTATTGTTAGATGGTTTAACAAAGAAAATAGTCAGATGCTACCAAACTTAAAAATATTTTTTAAAAAGCCTTAAAAATGCTGTAAACATGATACATTGTTGCTTAAAATTCAAAAGTATGATTCTTATCTAAAAACACTTTTATAGCTTTGCTGTTTCTTGAGACTTCTTTTTCTACTGCAGCTTTCTCCTAGTATACAATAGTTTAAAATGTGCAGTATGTTCCTACCTCATAGGCACTGGTGATCCCCAGTCGGTAGAAAATTGGTACAAATAATTCAGCAGTGATGGCAGACATGATAGCATAAGAAAAACCAAAGAGCCAGAAGGCAAGACCAAACCGGTAAGCCTCTGAGGGTGTTCCAATGACTGTGATGCCAGACATGAAGCTGGCTGTCAGGGACATGGCGACTGGCACAGCTGTCATTTGTCGTCCACCTAACAAAAACTCTGCACTGTTGTTCTCTTTCCGGCCCCGGATGGCTTGGAAAAGGCCGATGCTGGCTGCTCCCAGAATCGTTGCAGCAAACACCACATAATCCCAAGGAGAGAAAGTGGGCACTGGGCCACCTGTTCCAACCATTGTTGATTTATGAAATGAGCGGAAGAGCTTCTTTGAACCTAAAATCACAGTAAAAAAAAATATATATATATATATATATATATATATATATATAATATTAGCAAAATACAATCTTGCTGAAGGTATATGTAAAACATCATAAGCATTATAAAAAACGCTACATTGAAGATAAAAAATAAGCTGCTTTTTTATTGAATAAATTATAGAATTAATTTAACTTACCTCTACTCTTAAAAATCTCTCCTCAAACCTTCACAAAGTGTTGATGCTTCCAAACACTTAAAGACTTCAGTTCTACCTTACCTTAACTTTGTCACTTCAGTGATCAGTAGTTCATTGATAGTTCAACTACCTCTCGTGCAACTGGAAGTAGTCTGGTCAGCTTTAATGCATTCAGCAGACAATAAAGATTAGTTCACTTAGGTTAATGATCCATCAAGGACACAAGTCAGTGAAGCCTGGTATAATTTCAAAGATTATAAAAGAAAACGATCTGTTGGTGTGTCTCTGGTTGGTCACTGGTGACAATTAAAAGGTTCTTTGTTGTCAATAAATCTATTTTTTGTGAGGCAGTGACACATTGATGGTAGGTCTGTTTGTGTCTCCTGGTTACACAGTACCTTTTGGTTAAATAAAAAATTCAAGAGGGAGGGAAAGTTGAGTCTTCAGGGTTTGGTCTTCACTCCTTCTGCTATAACATATTGTCACTTGTGATAATATTTCTTTACTTAGTGTCATCTTTCATCACCTTTTCAGCATATTACTTCAAAATAATGACTAATTTGTAAAATGAATATTCAGCTTAAAACAAAAATATATAAATTCAGACATACTATTTATAAAGGTTTAAGCTTTTGTTTTTTTGTGAATATGTCAAATATATTTTTGCTACCATGAGATTTCATATTTTAATATGTCTGCTTTGTAAGAATTAACTGTAGAACGAGCAACAATAATTTAAGCGTTTAATAAAAATGACAGGTTATAATGTTTTCATAAGATTTATAACACCTGCACAGAAGCAATGAGATATCCTGTTACACTAATGCTGATTCACACTCGGACATGCATTATTCTTTGTCACTGATAAAGGATAAGGCTAATATTCTGCAAAGATAAATGTTATGAGATGTTGACAATACTGTCTAAACAATTGTGACCTAAGAGAGGAATGAGTATAGCCTTTTCAATATGTCTGTTTTACTTGGAACACAGTTACTGTGTGTTTGTCCATATGAATCCAAGTGAACTAAAAACTAACAGATAAGCACCGAAACATCAGTGTGTTCAAAACTGCTGCATTTTGCTTCATAATCACTTAATGTTTCCAAGACACTTTGACTAGTCTGGCCAATCATTACTCAAAATTACAGATAAGAAGTCAGTGTATAAAGCTTTTATTGGGTGTTTTTTTTTTTTCTAGCTTTTATTTGTCAGTAGCTTTTTGTGACCAATGGCTTCACTGCCTATGCCGACTGTGAAAGCAGATTAGATAAACCTGAATGAAAAGTGTATGCTCTGCTAATTTGTTTTTACCAGCTTACATCTTTGCTGACATCAGTTTTTAACTCACAACAACCAAAACCGTAATTCAGATACACAATAACGCACACAAAGACATTATTACGTCTTAACTTCTGTTAATTTTTAATCCAAAAAAGGCTGATTTGTTTTGAATAAAGTGGTTAAACCCGCTCTTTAACTTATGCAACCCCTCATAACTTATGTATTGTTTCCAGCACAAGATTTGTGGCACTTCATGACATCTAGTGGACAGTGGATTAGAGACTGCTTTCAGACAAAATTACATTGTTATTTTCATTATGCTATTCATTAAGAGCATCAATATGTTCATGTCATCTACGAAATGGGCTAAATGTTCAGTGCACCTCTTTCGTCACAGATAGAAGATAATAGTTTGGATTAACATGGATTAGATTATGTTTGTATATATATCTACGGTTCATCTAGAATGTTCAGACTCAGAACATTACTACATCTGTCAGTGACTGCATCTCTTAAACTTGATTCTTTTGAACAAAGAAAAGAAAAGTCATTTGATATAATCCTATGTTTCTTTTTTCTTTGCTTGTCTTTCATTACTTTGCAGGAACAAACCTGGTTAAGGGAAAACCACCTGGCTGAAAATGGAGACATCAGCGTTCAGCTGCTGGGTTCTTTTTCTGCTGATTTACCCAGTTGTTCCCATGTGTCTCCCCACAGAGTTCACATTGTTCGTGGAAAAGCCAGAATGTGACTATTGTGTGGCGATCAACACTACTATCTGCATGGGAGTTTGCTTCACAAGGGTATGTATTTCTTTGTAGTAACAGAGAAAATGCTATTAATTTTACTGTATGAAAAAAGTAAGTTTGTTGCACAGATGTCATATAATGTAAACCCCAAGATGAGCTAATTTACTCAGAATTGTCAGATTTCAAGTCTGTATGAGTTTAAAAATACATTTTTGATCAAGATGAGTAAAAAATGCTGAGAGAAAATGCATTTCCTGACTGTGTTGAGAAAAATAAAAATGGATTAATTACTTCTGCTGTGACCTAAGTCTGTTAGTTACAGTCTCATACATAGTAGTCGTGTAGTTTTTAATTCGTCAATCTGACAAAACTTTGTTGGCCAGCTTTCTAGTTTACTCATAAATTTGGTAAGATTAGCTGTTATTTCTAGTACATCATTTGGAAACTAAAATATAGATACACACTCTTTGCATGTTTGTGTCCCAGTCAAATGAGTTTTTCACAGGTTCATTCATCAGCTGTTTCCCATGTGTTTGTGTGTCACTCAGGACAGCAACATCGGGGATATTTTCCACTCACGCTTCGTTTTCCAGAGAAGCTGCACCTATGATAAGGTGGAATATCGCACAGTCATTCTGCCTGGCTGTGCTATTGGCTCTAACCCTGCATATACCTACCCAGTAGCTATCAGCTGCCACTGTGGTGCCTGCAGAACTGAAAGGGATGAATGCACACGCAGAGTCAACGTCTACGATGCTAACTGTGCTAAACCAGTCAGACGCGTTTATCCTTATCCCGGTCAAAGCAACTACATGATCCCATTTTAATCCTTCTGTTTATGTAAGAAAATAAAGGTTTTTACTTCTTATCTTATAATAGACCGTAGATGGTTTGCACTGTTTCATTCTATTTAATCTGATTATTGACTAATAAAGCTATAGTTTGACATCTTAGTTTACAGTTGATTCCACATATTTTGCTTAGCATTGTTTCCATACTTTCTCTTCCAGACTTTTATTATTTACTGTTAAATAGATTCTCTGAATAAAAACCAATTAAAACTGCATCATCTAAATGGCTCTCTGAATCAGATGTCCTTGAGTTAATCACATTCTGTTTCTTACCGTAGCTGTGTGTTTACTGCATAACAAACCCGAGGCTGTTTACATCAGCAGGTCACCTCCTGATTCTATATTTACCTGTGAAGTCATTCAGAGAAGTATGTGATTGTTGACACAACTCTTCTTTTGAATGGGGTTAAACAGATGGGTATAAAATTTGAAAGACTTGGCCCACTGTTTACAGGCTCTTCTAAACAGCACATTTAACACGTCTGTTTGTTAGCAGCGTCTATGTCTCATCCTAAATGGGGTTTATGCTAGTAGACTGTCCACAAAAGGAGTTTCAGAGACAGCTGGAGAATATAAATAGCTCAGAATTGTGAGTGAGACAATGTTTCATAAAGTCATCTTCTGGGGTGAAGTGACATTGGTCTTTCATAATCACTGATTGTATGAAGCTTTCACATATATTTTCCTAAAACATTAAGACAATTCAATGGTTTTTGTTGGTTCTAAATCTCAGATATTCTCACAAATTTCCTTAAATATAAAATAACAAAAGCGTTTAACTAAAGGGCCGCAAATTAGATTTCCAGAGTGTCCCTGGCAATTTGTTAAAAGGAATTGCCAAGAGCCAAAATTTAAAGTCTACATTAACTTTGTTAAAGATGTATTTTAGAACCAGAAATTAAATCCAGTTTATAAGAAAATATAGGCTAAAAACTGCTCTACAAAATGTTCACAATGACACACCCTAAAAACCTGATCCTCTGTTTGGCTTTGGAGTGAGCTGACATAAATAAGCACTACCTTTAAGTCTTGTGACACAGAAGTGAGAATATTTGTGAAGTTACTGGTCTGACCCGTCTAGGTTTTGGAATGGGTTCTCTCTAAAAGACAAGAAATGAAAATAGGTATGGTCATTCTGATTTTTAACATCAGGATATCCCAGAGGAAAAGCTTACAATTGATCAGTTTCAGTTTTATTCCACTGGCCACTCATATTTTATTTAAAAAAATTGCAGGTGGAAAATTATTTATCAGGCTATATAATGATCTGTACCCGAAAAAAAATATTTGCCATCATCAAAGTACTCAAACTCTTCCCACTGTATTTTGTATGTTTGTATTGACATTTTGATGCTTTGTCTTTGTGGATTGTCATCAACCTAAACTTTAGCTTCTTCCAGAGATTCCCTATCATACTCTGCCTGGGCTTCTCCAACATGTTAATATTACATCCAATCACAGGCATAAAGTTAGTAAAAATAAAAGGCCTTATTTTAAAACTAAATGTGCCGGGTGAATGAATAATATCTGAGGTTGGCAGTTTGCACCCAAAAATTGTGTGTCCTTCTCTGACAGCAGGTATTAATGAAGTTTCCTATAGTATCTAAGCAGGTCTCAGCTGATAGCTCAGCTCCACTTAAATTATGGCACTTTGCAAATCCAAGCATTAATTAAAGGGTTTTACAAAGCAAACTAAACAGAAAAGTAAAAGAAAGGATAGATTTTGTTCATCGTACAGTATTTCATAATATACTGAATACTTCTTCATAGATTGCTCTTCTCACTTTCTTTTCCTGAATCACTACTGCTACAGTTAACATTGGGTTTGTTTATTTGTTTCTTTGTTTGTACTCACAACCAAGTGTGTTTGAGTACAAAATCCCACAATCAATGAATTAATCAATCAAATTTTATTTGTATAGCTCATTTCAGCAGCAAGGCATTTCAAAGTGCTTTACAGCATGTGACAATGAATAAACGGAAAGAAAGAGAAAGAGATTTTGAAAAAATATATATAAATAAGAACATAAGTTAAGTCAAGTTTATTTGCATAGTACACTTCAGTAACAAGTGTCCTTTGACTTTGAACTGCTCTGGCAGTTCAAAGACCTATAAAGACCTTTATAGGTCTTTATACAAAGACCTATAAAGACCTGCAATTATGAATATGTGTTCCTTTTCAAGTTCCAACATGTTGAGCTACATTAGATCATCTCTCTCTTCCTGAATCTACTTCTGCTGAAACACTGGAGAAAAAAGGAAGCACTCAAAATAAAATAGGCTCATATGATTTACAAAGTTGTTTGGCTATGACTCTTAAACCTAACAGGTGATAGGTCACTGTGGCTTAAACTGCCTGGCTGTAGTTGTGTTTTGTAAATCCTACTAACCTACAGGATGAAACAGAGATTCCAAAGGAATTTGCCTGCCTCAGCACTGCATGGAGACCAGCTATGTAGTGAACATGCCAATCACTTTTTCAGTCAAACATCATACACTTTTGACTGTGTTTGGTTTACTCCGCTGGGCAAAGCAGTGACATGTTGAAACAACTCCTGACAGCTTACAGTGTATCACCAGATTAGTATTACATCAGGAATATATTTTTTGATCCTGAGAAATTTGCTCCTGGTATTTGCTTAGTGAGTAACACCTGACACATGTAAGCTAAGAAGTAACAGATTATGCTTCCTTTAGTCAGTCAGCTGTGTTAAGTTGCTGTAATAGATAAGGAATCCGACATTTGGCTGCTGAGCTACATTAGATACTTTTAAAATTTGTGACAACCAAGAATTTCAGCACGCAATTTTATTTAAATGGTAGAAAAGAAAAAAAAAAACAGTGTAATTGTATGCTCGTCAAAAAGGCCAAAGCTTTACCAAAGATTAAAGTAATACTGCATTGCTTGCACCAATATGTTTTTAATTTATTAAGGCTTTAAACTACTAAAGCCTTAGTTTGAATTTTTTCCCACGTGTCTATTAAGGCTAATAACTGATTGAAGTTGATGCCACCTTTGAAAAAAGTACTTGCTTGCCTTGCAAATAGTGTGCACCTCTCTGTGTTACACAAGCTTTTAGCCACTGGCTATATGCGTAGAACCGGTTCCTGGTAAATGTTTCAAACCTTTCCAGAACAATCCTCCCGTGTTTAGCATTCAGCTTGTAATATTCCAAACTGTCTAACCTAAAAGAGAAACTTTTCTAGAAGAATTTACCAGATTGCCAAACACAGGTCATATCTGCAAGATACATGGTATTCATATTATTTTAAAGTGGAAATATTATCAGTGTTCTAGCAGTATTTATTTATATACTGAGTATAAAGACGATTTTCTGTAATATTCTAAACCTGCAAGAACATCCTCAATACTTAAGAGCTACATTTCAGCACCTATGAAGAAATATACTTTTTTAATCATTCTGGCAGAGTGCAAAAGAAGGGAAGCATATAGATTAGTACATTATAGTAAAATAATCAGTACTGGAATTTTCAAATAAAAGTAATCTATCAAAAGCACCAAGTTTGTTTAAAGATATAAAATATAAATACCTCTTATGCATTAAATCAGATGTCTATATTTCTCATACTGAAAGCTGAATAGTGAAAAGGAAGCAGGACAAGAGTATATAGTCTTGTTACAATAAGCCTATTATACTACTATTACTATTCTTGAAGGAATGACAACTTTGTTAGCATGGAGACAATCCTTAAAACAATCAATGAATTAATACATTTATCTGAAAACAAATGGTGCTTCCATCAGTTTTATTTTGCATAGCTACACAAATTTAAAATTTGAGTTCTTTAAACAAACATGTTTTGCTTAAAAGAAGTACATTTGTAAAACTATAAGCTGATGCAGAGTAGAATAGAATAGATTAGAGAACAGAAAGATCTAGTTCCCTTTTGTGAATCCATCAACACCCACGCCTCAGGGTTCTTTAGCCATGACAAATTTAGTAGTTCATCTTAAATTAGCCGTGACCCAAGTATAGATGTATGTTAAGAATGAAAAATATATTTTGAGAGTCTACCCCAAGCTTTTCTATTCATGCATTTTAATTTTAAATAAAATTTTGAGCTTTTTAAACAAAAGATTATTTTTACATTTAACCCCCGCCATCTGCCTCGTTCCAGCCAGTCACTCACTCGTTCTAACATTTTAACTGACGGATCGATCGGCCAACGGGGACGAAAAGAGGAGCGATATCTGAACTCTGATTGGTTCTTATGGAAACGTCTTCACTCTGATTGGTTCTTATGGAAACGTCTTCACTCTGATTGGTTGTCATTAAGGCGTATGCTGTAACAGTCTTTGCCACCATAAGACCAGTGGAAATTTCCAGTCGGTCTATTCATTGCTATAAAACGGAGGTGAAAAGTGGTTGAAAGCGAAATACACTTTTAACGACTTAAAACTCTTCTTAAAGCTGCATAAGACAATTATTTGGTAAGTACCTTGCTATATTTACGTTTTAGTGAATAAATAATCTACTTTAAATCATCGAATTTGAGTTCTTAGCTGTTTTATTTAGTTTTGCGGGCTGTGATGGTTTGAATGGATGCTTTACGTTGCTGTTCTTTATATCAAGCAGCAAACGCCATAAGGTCTTAAAAATTGGTTAGTATTGTTTGCGACCATGACACGTTCTACTTGTCCTGAAGTAAGAAAATTATTTGCTGTCAAATTTTTTATCATAATCTAATGCTGGAGAAGGAATTCAGTTATTGAAATTATGAAGTAAACTTGTCCTACTAATTTAGATATGTACTATATGTAGACACTTTCCTTACGAAGAAACGTGTTTTTGATCTCCAGTTATCTAACTTTTAGCCAGTACATTTCTGTAAAATTTCTATAGAAGGCGGGAATGCCCTTTTAAGGCGTTCCGGAATGTAAATAGACGTTGTGGTGAGTGGGTACATCACAACCATGTGACTCTGAAGCATACAGACAAGTTTAAACCTGCAGCTCTGGGTGGGCGGGATAACTTCAGCGTTTAAAAGTCTGGGGCTACTCAGGATTCTGTTCACTTTTTGGTTTTATCTCTCCAGGACACCACTTCCCAGCTTAACTGCAAGCACTTGACTCTACATCT